CCCACAACTAGGATTTGAGGTTGTTGGGTCTTTTGGTTACTAACACCAGCCACAGACGTCAGTGTGTCTGTGACAACAGTTCAAGTCAGTGAGGTTTCATTTAAAGAATTCTTCTGTCGTTTGATTGGCTCCTGTGATTATGGTCTGTAGGGTTTCATTCTGAGGATTTTTTTTACCTTCAGTTTTGGTCCGACAGCCTGGTCTGAAACACAGTTGCCCCTCAGTTGCCCCTCAGTTGCCCCTCAGTTGCCCCTCAGTTGCCCCTCAGTTGCCCCAGTTCAGTCTTTTTTACCGACTGTCGTTCATGTGTAAAAACAGATTTTAGACTGAAATCACAGAGAAAATCAGAGAGTTGCTGAATTGAAAATGTCCCAAACTTCAGAGGACCAGATGAGTTTGTGTCTTCACCTCCAGAACTGTTTCCTTGGTCCCTCTGATTAATGAGTTCGTTAAAGTTAACGACCAAACTGTGGGCGTCAGTTTTAACTGCGGTTTTTCTTTTTGTAAAAACTTGTTTAAAAATTAAATCTCAGTAAATGTTCCTGTTTCCACCTCACTGACTTTCAGGACAAAATAAAAATGAACAGGAAGCTCATGTCCAGGACTTTTATTTTCTTAAAGGCAAACCCTGTCCAAACCTTTTTTTTTTTTTTTTTTACTGTCCCTCCGACCGAAGCTTTGTTTACAGAGTGTTTGATTCTGCTGCTGAACAATCACAGTGACCAGAAAGAGAATTGTGATCCATGCAGATGGTGTCGTCTGTGTGTGTGTGTGTCTGTGTGTGTGTGTCTGTGTGTGTGTGTGTGTGTGTGTTGTAAATTCAGGGCTATGATGCAATCATCTCTTCTGTCTAAGAGCACAACAGCAGATGTAGACAGTGGTTAAAGATTTGAAGGGTTTCTTAAGCACAGAGCAGGGGCTCAGCAGTTCTGGAACCGTTTCCTGGAACTGTTTCCTGGAACCGTTTCCTGGAACCGTGGGCTCCTCCGTCATCCCCGGTGCTGAAGACACAAAAACAAACAAAAAATTCCTCTGAACTGTTTGTTGGTCTGAACAGGTTTAAGGATGAAAATCAACTCCTTTGTCCTCACCCACATCCACTCATGCAGCACTAGCTACTCCCCCTAGTGGCAGTTTGAAAATATTGTTCACAATGGTGTAGATCAGTGGTTCTCAAACCTTTGACGTCACACACACAGCGTTCCCTCCAGTTCAGCTGGAGAATTTAGTCTTAACATTATGGACTTTTTTTTTTCAACCATTTACGAGATTTAAAAAAAAACCCGCTGGCTCTCTGCCCTAGAACGCTGGTGTCCCCACAAAAGTACGTTCCCCAGAACTGACCCCACAAGTACCACCAGCGGTACATGCACCACAGTTTGAGAACCACTGCTGTAGAGTTTGCGTCAGTGGGATGTAAACTTCACTTCATTCAATCTTTTTTATTCTAAGGTTTAAAAAAAATGCAACCAAAATAGTCGAGTTAGCGCCACGATGCTAAGCTAAAGGTACCAACGCGTAGCTGCAGTGCTGTCGTCATGGTGACTGTTGATGGATGACAATCATGTTTTCATGTTTACTCTGCCCAATGTCTGGTTCATCTGGTTCAATGTCTGGTTCGTGGTTCATCTGACTGGTGTGCCCCCCCCCACCCCCCTCCATGGGTGAGAGGTCACATGGGTCAGACAGTGATGCACGTGAGGTGAAGACGATGACATGGTCACAATCACAGTGGAGTGTGTGTGTGTGTGTGTGTGTGTGTGTGTGTGTGTGTTTCCCCCAAATGTTTTTTTTTTAATTGTCGCTGGACGTGAACCTGCCGGAGAGATTACCGTTGTTAAAATATTGATGTGTGATTTAAGATGATGATTTTAAAAAAGCCTTGTTACATTGTGGGGGGGGGGTGTTGGGTGGGGGGGTGAC